ACCCGATTCCCCACCACTGGCCAACGCCCACCCCATGCAAACCCGCTCCAAGGCCGGTGTCTTTTGCCCAAAACAAATCCTCGACCTTCACACCAACACATCCATCTCTCCTTTACCCCCAACTTACCGTAGTGCTATGAAAGATCCAAACTGGCATGCTGCTATGTGTGATGAATATAATGCTTTGTTAAAGAATGACACATGGGAACTAGTACCCCCCTCCCCCATCCAAAACATAATCACCGGTAAATGGCTCTTTAGACACAAATTTGGCTCGTCCGGTGAGTTATCCAGGTATAAGGCCCGATGGGTGGTCTGCGGATTCAATCAGCATTTTGGCATCGACTACAGCGAAACCTTCAGCCCCGTGATCAAGCCTGCCACGGTCCGCATCGTCCTTAGCCTCGCATTGTCTAGTGGGTGGCCCATCCATCAGCTAGATGTCAAAAATGCCTTCCTCCATGGACAGCTTTATGAAACCGTGTATGCCAGCCAACCTTTAGGATTTCAGGATCCTGAACGACCCCATCATGTCTGTCGTCTCAAGAAAGCTCTTTATGGCCTGAAACAGGCACCCCGGTCATGGTATCACAGATTTGCAGGTTTTATTCAGACTATTGGATTTCGCGGATGCAAGTCTGGCACATCTCTTTTCATCTTCACGCATGAATCGGGGACCGCCTACCTCCTGTTATATGTCGATGACATCGTACTCACTGCCTCCTCGCCAGCACTACTACAGAGTCTCATTTAGAAACTCAAGGCTGAGTTTGCTATGACAAACATGGGTGACGTGCACTTTTTCCTCGGCATCAATGTTCACCGCACAACTCAGGGTCTCTTCCTTCATCAGACACAGTTCACCCACGACATCCTTGAGCGGGCAGGGATGGTCTCCTTTCGCCCCATATCTACTCCAGTCGACACAAAGGCAAAGCTCTCCTCCTCCTCCCGCACGGCACTTCCAGATCCTTCTCTTTACAGGTCCATAGTTGGTGCTTTGCAGTTTCTCACATTCACCCGACCTGATATTACTTATGCCGTTCAGTAGCTCTGCCTCCACTTGCATATGCCTCGCGACTCTCACCTCACGGCCATGAAGCGCGTTCTCCGTTATCTCAGCGGCACCGCCACCCATGGCATCTACTTGACCCGCTCCATGATCGATTATCTTCAGGCTTACTCTGATGCTGATTGGGCTGGAAGTCCTGACACCAGACGTTCTACTTCCGGGTACTGTATTTTTCTGGGCGACAACCTAATCTCATGGCCATCCAAACGCCAGGCTACCACGTCACGGTCTAGTGCACAGGCCGAATATCGGGCTGTGGCTAATGCAGTCGCAGAGACATCCTGGATTCGGAATCTCCTCCTAGAGCTCCAGCAACCTCTCCGGCGTGCCACCATTGTCTTATGTGATAATGTCAGTGCCGTCTACCTTTCATCAAATCCGGTTCAGCACCAGCGCACCAAGCACGTTGAGGTCGACATCCACTTTGTGCGTGATAAAGTCGCCCCCGGCCACATTAGAGTTCTTCACGTGCCTTCCTCCTCCCAGTATGCCGACATCTTCACCAAGGGACTGCCTTCCCTGCTCTTCCTCGAGTTCAAGTCTAGTCTGGGTATCCGACCACCTCCACACCCGACGTAGCCGGGAGCATGTTAAATATATTCTATATTTAATGTAATATATTGTTTCCTATTATTCTCTCCTACCTTGTATAGGAATAGGAATCCCATGTATATATAAACATATGTACTCCCACATATTCAATCAAGGAAATTAATCTTTCTACAATTATCAACAAATCGAAAAATGGGATCACTAATAAATTGTTCCATTCACTTATAGTTGTGCAAACCAAAACATGAACAAATGATTTTGTTTTGGTCGATTAATGAATATCTCGACATATTTTATAATAGCTTCAATCAAGTCAATTTCTTTACAATAAAAACTCAATTCATCATTTTAGTAGAAATAATGTTCAGAAGAAAAGAAGTGGAACGACACACCATTCCACAAAATCAAACATAGAATTAACCAGCTTCACTTGCCACAATGTGGGCAGCATGATTTGTAGATCTCTTAAAAAACTAAAGCTCATACTACTAAAACATACCCCCTCCGTCCAACAATAAACTTTTCAGTTACTATTACGAGCTCTCGATAATTTTTATTTGTTTGCAAAATTTTATCAATTATTTGATAAGATAAAATATTCTTATCACATATTATTTTGTAAAATTTTTTATGTTGTTTTTATTAATGTAATTTGTACTTTTCTATGATATATCAATTTATAAATAAAGTTATTTTAAAAAATATGAGATTCTGCACGTGGTTGAAAATGATAAATTTATTGTTAGACGAAGAACTACCTCGTAATTGATATTTACACACGAAGGTAGGCTTAGTGATATTTAGATTCTCCTAAATGTTTGTTGGGCACTTAAAACATACTCCGCAGTATTTTTTATGAAAATCCAAACCAAATTTAACCTTTCTGTTAGGTTTTCTGTTTTGGATAAAAATCAGACCGAAAAAGTCGAATCCTGCCTTACATATTGTTATTATTTTATGACTTTCATCAAGTCAGTATTGCTTTAACTTTTTTAATATTTATAAATTTTCATTTTTAAAAATAAAAAAACAAAATTTAAACCACATAAACCGAATTAAACAAGAAACCCAAGTGACCGAACTAGACCTGGCAAAACAGAACCGGAAACGATTATCCGAACCGAAATATCCAAAACCGAAACTGAAATGACCCGAAAAATGAAGATCCGATCTATAACCGAAAACCTGAAATGATCCAAATCGAACCGAAACCGAACTAAATAATTCATATATGATTTAAATCCGAAACCGATTAGATCCGAACCGATTAAACCCGAAACTGATTAGATCTGAAACCAATAATACCCGAAACCGATAAAACCCGAAACCGATTAGATCCGAAACCAATAATACCCGAAACCGATAAAACCCGAAATTGATTAGATCCGAAACCGATAATATCCGAGCCCGATTGGAACTAAAATCGATAAATTCGGAACTATGTTTGCCTTTCAATAAGCATATTATATTTTTAAATTTTTTACTTTTATTTTACCATTTGAACTAATTACATTACTTGCTCATTCCCTCATAAAATGGATTATCTTCTTGAAAAAAAGTACAAAATTTCATGCCATAATATTATTATATATAGAAATTAAAGATAAGTTGTACATATAAATGATAGCGCACAAACAAACAAAATTTCCGTAATTTTTAAATAGTGAGGTGTGATATTCTTTTTGGGACGAAAGGATTATATGATGAATTGTATGGAATAACTAGATTTTATCCTAATTTCATCTCATTACAATAAATTTTATTGATTTGAGAGTTAATCTATTTAGTTTCAAACCAATTCACTCAATACTAGTCAATAAAATTAGATACAAGTGTTAGCTTTTTGAAAAGACTCTCTAGCGGCAGCATTTAGTGTTATCATTTTCAAATTTGATCTACACCATTACATTTAAGTGTAAAATTAATTATATTTGACTCTATTAAATTTAATTTTATCTATTTTCAACCAAATACACTCAATAATTTATAAATTTTGCACTCAATTGAATAAAATTTACTTAATTTCACCCAATTTTACTCAATTTTTACCAAATTATATTTAAATGGAACATAACACTATTTGAATTTATCTTTTATCTTTTCATTTATAAACATAAGTATATTAGTAGATGTGAGAAAAATTTGATATTTCAAAACTAAATTTTAAAGGAAAAATTCACACGAATACTCCAAGAAATTTGTTATTTTATGTTAATACTCTGAAATTAAATAATTTACACCAGTGCTCCCATAAATTGTTTAATTTTATATCAATACTCCAGACTACCAACTATGCAGAATACGTGACATTTTAAATGATGACCGTAAATTAAAAAGTATGTGTTGGTAATTAAGGAGGGATAAAAAATAAAACAAAATGATGTTTCAGACAAAATAAAGAATTTTGAAGTACATATTTCATAATCAAATTTATATTCGTTGGAAAGATCTTTAAATATAAATTTTGGACTATATCAACTTTAAAATTCTTTAATTTTTCATATGAAACACTCTTCATAATTTATCCATTAAAATATAAACACTTTATTTTTTTAACACATTTTTATTTCAAATCGACATGGAGGGAGATAATTATAGCGCATTCAATATATTTTCTTTATTTTTGTAGTTAATTATCAACTCATTCTTAAAAATTATTTGGTCGCCATTTAAAATTCTACGTATTTAGCTTAGTTGGCAACCTGGAATATTGGTGTAAAATTGGGTAATTTCTAGGAGTAGTGGTGTAAATTATTTATGTTAGTAGTATTATCATAAAATCACAAATTTCTTGGAGTATTCATGTGAATGTTTCTAATTTTAAAATCAATTTAATTATATTAAATTTATATCATAAATAAATATATATGTTTTCATAATTTGTAGTCCAAATTTGTAAAATATGACTAAAAAGTCAAAAAGGGAAGATTATTTAGGGTTGAGATAATATAATTAGAAATAAATATAAAATAGTATGAGGTATTGAATTGATGATAGATTGAAAAATGTGATAAAACATAAAAAGAAACATGGATGATTAAATTTTAATTAGAAAATAAAATATATCCAAAATATATTTGATCCGAAACCAAAATATATCCGAACCGAACTAGACCCGAACCCGAAATATATCCGACTCAAATTGTATCCGAACAAAAATCTATCCGAACCGATTTATAACCGAACCGTATCTGAACCGACCTGAAACCGAATCGAATCGAAAAATGTATAGAACCGAATCAAAGCCAAACCGAAATTTAACCGATCCGATCTGAACCGAACCGATTATAACTTATAACCGAAAGATATCCGAATCGAAAAATCCAACCCGGAACCGATCTGGTTGACCCGATTGCCACCTCTAGACCTAACCCACCCCTAGCCCAAACATTCTTTTAAAGTTTTTAGTGCCACGTATTGTACATTACATTTTTCGGGCAACTTCCACACCATTTTTTTGCTTACTCATACCATGCACTTCTCTCACCCCACCACGTTGCATTTCCAAGCCCAATTTCTATATCCACATGTCCCTCTCTCATTTAGCAACCGCCATTCTCAACCCAATTTATACCCCTTCCATTTTGTTCCCTTCCCCACATTATCTATCTATCATCCCCACCATTTCATACAATATACACAGAAGAAGAAGAAGAAAACAAAGTCCTTGCTTAATTCAGTGCTATTATGGCTTCAAAGCAACAGATTAGAAGAGAGAACCAGACTGACGAAAGATCAGCCCAAGTTGAGAAGGACAGAGTCCCGAAAATGGCCAGCCAATTCGAGGCCATGGCCGAGAAGTCTCCGGAAACCACCGCGGGTATCCATCCGGCCGCCATCCACGTCACGGATACCGTGACCACGGCGGAAGGCAAAGGCGGGCGTGAAAGGGAAGCCCACGACACAAAGAACAGAGGAACCTCAATTGGCCATGGCCAGCAACATCCGGTTAAAGTTGGCGGGGTGGAGTTCTGTTGCGGCCAGGCGCTGGCTCCCGGCCATCAAGTGTTTAAAGAGAAGCCCGGCGGCGTGAGATTTGAGGCGGCTAGCGGTGGCGGCGGTGGCGGACTGGGGAAGAACAACAATGATAAAGAAAGTTTGGAAGAGATAGGAAAGGCCCGACAAGCGGCGCAGCAGAACTCTATAAATTCCCTTCTAGCGGCTCAGGAGAAGTACGAGACCGCCGGAGAAAAGGCGAAGGGCACCACCAAGGAAGGGTCTCAATATGTCCTCGAAAAGGCCAACGCCGCGAAGGACACTGCCCTTCAGAGGGGTCAACAAGCCTATGAGATGACAAAAGAGACTCTCTCGGGTGCTGGCAAAACAACCAAGGACTACACCGCCCCCAAGACGGACCAGCCGAAGGACGCCCTCACGAAGGCCGGCGAGGTCGCGAAGGAGTACACCGTATCCGCGAAGGACCGCGGAGCCGAACTGAGCAAGAGCGCCGCGAGCTACGCAGGGCAGAAGGCGGTGGAGGCGAAGGACGCCACGGTGGAAGGCGGGAAAGTGGCGGCACAGTACGCCGGGAAGGTGGCGGAGACGGTGAAGGATAAGGCGACCGTCGCCGGTTGGGAGGCTGCTCGTTTCACGGCCGAAAAGGCTGCCGGCGCCACCAACGTTGCCGCCGGAGTGGCGGCAACCGCGGCAGGGTATGCCGGAAAAACTGCTGTTGCCGCCAAGGACGTGGTGGCCGGGGCCGGGAAGAGTGCGGCGGGTTACGCTGGCGACAAGCTGGCTGCTGCGAAGGATTATGTGGTGTCCGCTGAAGAAAGCGCGGCAGAGTATGCCGCTAGAAAAAAAGCTGAAGCTCAGAGAGAAGCACATGCTAAGAAAGCTGCAGACTCCAAGGTATGTACAATAATTAATACGGAGTAATTGTTGAATTAATTTTTAGATTGAATCATGGGGAAATTGCTTAAATAATAAGGGGTACTGTTTCCAAAAGGGAAATTTACGTAAATAACACTTAAAATTAATGATTTTTTCTCTAAATAGCATCACATGTATTACTTAGTTTTAGTGCTATTTAGTGCAAATATTTCTTTCCTGATTAATATCACATGTGTTTTTTCTGTAATTGTAGCACTTTTAGTCATTATCCATAGTCATTATTCAAGTAATTGTTCGTCATCACGGAACATTATACTTCCTCCTTTTCTCAAAAGAGTTCCTCTTTTACTTTGGGGGAAAATAAGAAATTGTTAAATTGTAGTTGACTTTCCAATTTTGCGAGATGAGTAAAAGTAAGATGTGATAGTTTAGTTGTTAGTAAAAAAAGTATGATGTGTTAGGTAGGATATGAAAAAGTAGGGGTAAAAGTGGTTTTTTAATAGAAAAGGGAAGTGTTTTAAAAAAAACAAAAAAAACATGAAAGAGAGTGGGTTTTAAGAAACGAAGGGAGTAGATATTCATAAGGGTTAGTTTTAGTGGTATTTAGTTCAAATATTTCTTGAATTATTGGATCCAAAGTTATTTCGTTAAAATTTACTTGATTAATTCTTTCTTGTTTATTGAAACTAAGGGAGAAGGCGGAGGGGGGAGCGTATTCCGCAGGAAGCAAGAAACAGCAAGTGGAGGAGAAGGGAGGAAGACGAGGGAAATGGCGGTGGGGGCACCCACGGTGGTGGTGTCAGAGGGAGGCGGCCAGGAAAGCGGGGGTATTCTCCAGGCCATTGGGGAGACTATAGTTGAAATTGGCCAGACTACTAAAGGGCTTGTCATCGGCAGTCCTATGGATGTTGATGATGATGACGATGATCTGCGGCGGAGCTATGATGACACCGCGGGTGCCACCGGAAGGAGTGAAGAGATGAAAGGGCATGTTCGTGACGGGAAGAAGTAGCTAGCCAGCAGTAGGTGTTTTGTAATGGAAACTGTGGTATGAGCAAATAAGTGGTGAATGTTGTGATTATGTCTTGTGCAATAATATTAAGAAAAACATTATTCAGTGATTTGCTATGTTATGAAACTGATCTTGAAGTACTAAGAACATACAAAGTGCTAGTCTACTAAAAACCATGTTTTCCTTCACGGATACGCTAGAGGTACACTTTTCAAATGTACACCACTTGCCTCTACAACATTCATTTTATTTTCTTTTTATTTTTTACTTTTTTTTTGAAATTTTCTTGCCATTTTTGTATGGTAATGGAGGGGGTGAGGATGTTTGGGGTACACTTTTGGTGTACCCCTAGCATTTTCCTTTCCTTTCAACTCTATATTGGTTATCTTTTAATTGAAATGAGTTTTATATGATCTAATCTGTTTTTATATTTAAAGTTATTTTTACTAGTATTCCAATAACAATAAAAATAACTACTCCGTAGTAATTATAAGTAATACGAATAAATTAAGAGGAAGATCATATATCCGATGAGAACATGCAAATGGAAATACTCCCTTCGTCCTTTAATTTAAAGATTGTCATAGTTTTACTTTTTTATAAAACTGTGATACTTTTTACCATAAATTAAATATAGTTTAAAATGATAAAATATTATAAAATTTGATATTTTAAAATTATATTTCAAAATAAATTTAATTTTACTAAATTTACATTTTAACTATATATTTTTTCCATCTATTATTAGCACTAAATTTACATTAAGCCTGTTTGGGAATAGCGTTAGCGATTAGCGTTAGCGTTTTGAAAAAGGCTATCTACATGCAACATTTAGCGTTAACGTTTTCAAAGTAATCTGTACCATTAAAATTTTATCCAAAACGCTAATCTCTAACGATATTCCCAAACAGGCCCATTATAACTAAATATATATGTTTTCTATTATTAGCGAGCAAAGGACGACATAATTTTACTAAAAAGTCAAACTGTATCAATCTTTTGAAAACGAAAGAAGTATAAGTTATTGAAATCGGGTAATAGTAACTCGAAAGATATATTTTCTTATAATTGGAAAGATAATATTTCAAGGTAGTATATCACACTTTCACTAGATGACAAAAATCTTGTAAGAAATATTTGTGTTGAAGACCCGTCCTTTGATCCAAAACAAATTAAAAATTTATAAATATCTTAGCTAACCTCGAAGATATGAAGAAATATTATTTTCTATTAGAAGTAGATGAAAAATGAGGTAGGGATAGGACGCCACGGAGAACGACATAACTCGGGTGGCCAAGACGACGATGCCAGAGAACCGGATCAGCAGTGGCAACGTGAGCTTGGGCAGCGGTGGGACTCATAGGGTAGAGGGGACCAGCATTATTGGACCGATGAATCACAGTTCCCGTCAGCATATCCTTCACAGAAAAACCAGTAGGGTCAAATTCAACAGTGCAATTGTTATCTCGGGTGAATTGTCTAACAGAAATAAGGTTGTGGATGATATGTGGTGAGACAAGGATGTTGTGTAGGGAGAGGGGAGGGGTAGTGGGAAAGTGATAATTACCGGTTGCTGTAGTGCGAACTTTCGAACCATTACCTACAGTGATATATGATGATGAATTTAAAGAATGAGAACGAACATGAGAGAGTACCTAGGTCGGAGGCAATATGGTGGGAGGCGCCCGTATCCATGTACCAGCTAGGGTCGCGAAGGGTCAGGGTGTCAAAATGATGAGCAAGAGCAGTGGGGGTGAGGG